TTTTAAAAAGACAGCAAGCCTTTTTAAACATTTGACACAGAAACTGAATACGAGGCAGTGAAAAGACACATTTGTAAACTAGACTTTTGTTTTTCCGTGCCCCCGTACAGACTTACCCTCAACTCTTTACAAAACTGCCTCTCCCAGGAAGTCTTCTCGAATTGATTCTTCCAAACAACTTTACTCTCTCGTTCTGGGCCTTGTCCCTTCACAATCTACTTCTCTCCTTGTCACTTTCTCAGGTAGTCAGTTCTGAGCATGAATTAAGCAGCACCACACAGGAAAAAGTGCATGTTCTCTGCAGACGCACAGATCTCAATATGCACCTGGGTCTGTAAGGACAGTGGGTCGGGTACTTAGTCTCTTGGATCCTCAAGGTAGAATCACTTTACCTTGAAGAGTTGCAGTAAATAGTAAAGATGGAATGAGAAGATGAACACAAAGCCCTGGCAGAGCATAGGCAGCCAACACACAGGCAGTCATTACTTTGAGCCACCAGTATTAATAGTGCTGCTTGTCCATCACAGTGCCCACAGACCATTCCACCAGAGGCTTCGCATGTGTACAGGCACAAAAACAAAAGCATTCAGTATCAAAAGAAGGCCCAAAACAATGGACTAAATGTTTCCTTTTCTTATTCATTGTTCTGGCAGCATAGGGAAGTACAGCCTACATAAAGGTAGGCCCCAAATAACTTTTCTCTGCCACCGTCCCCTGTGTGACATTAACCATGGCACTTTGCTGTTCCTGGCCCTTGATTTTCTTTTTTTTTTTTTAATCTCAAATGGCAGAGTGACCTCAAAGCTCTCAAGTGTTTCTCTAAGCTCTAAAATTCTAAAACCCCAGGTAGGCCAGACATGGTGGTGCATGCCTGTAATCCCAGAATATTGGGAGGCTGAGGCAGGAGGACTGCTTAAACCTAGGAGTTCAAGACCAGTCTAGGCAACATAGTGAGACCCCATTGCTACAAAAATACAAAAACTGTGATGGCATATGCCTGTAATCTCAACTACTGGAGAGGCTGAGGTGGGAGGATAGCTTTAGCCCCGGAGGTTGAGGTTGCAGTGAGCTATGATCGCACCACTGTACTCTAGCCTGGGTGACAGAGCAAGGCCTTGTCTCAAAAAATATATAAAATAAAATGAAATAAGGCTCTGGGAGGCTGGACGGGGTGGCTCACGCCTATAATCCCAGCACTTTGGGAGACCGAGGTGGACAGATAGCCTGAGGTCGGGAGTTTGAGACCAGCCTGGCCAAAATGGTGAAACCCCATCTCTACTAAAAAAAATACAAAAAATTAGCTGGGCATGGTGGCAGGCGCCTGTAATCTCAGCTACTCGGGAGGCTGAGACAGGAGAATCGCTTGAACCCAGGAGGCAGAGATTGCAGTAAGCTGAGATTATGCCACTGCACTCCAGCCTGGGTAACAAGAGCGAAACTCCATCTCAAAAAAAAAAAAAAAAAAAAAAAAAAAAAGACTCTGGGTATGCACAGACCACAGCTTTAAAGTTTAGTAATTTCCGATAAGCTCTTTCCCCATTCTATCTGGGTTAAAACTCTGTTTTCTGACCCTGAAGGTGTGGACCAAACCCTCTCCCTTAGTTTGTTACTCCGCATGTCATTGGGTCTATATAAAAACTGAAGAGATTATTAAGTAATCTAGATTGTATAAACAATGAGTAAACAACTAATTTTTAAAACTATACAGGGGTTTCCAGCTTAAATATCATAGGAAAGGAAAAAGAGAGAAATCCGAATTAATAAAGTAGTCCACTAGTTTCTACCATGTAGATACAATTTAATAATAATACATGACACTTGTTACATTTTATAGGCATTTACTATGTGCCAGGAAGGCTGGGCACCCTGCATGTTATCTCATTTAATCTTCCTAACATATCTATGGCAAGGTGTTGCGATTGCCATTTTAATCCTCCTTTTAACTGAGGAGTAAACAAACCCCGAGAGAGGTAGGGTACATAGCCTATGGTTATGCAGGCAGTAAGTGGCAGAAAACTAGATGCAGCCAAATAAAGTGCAGGTAATTTCAGATCAGGAATTATATTCATTAGCATCACTAAAGGGAAGACAGTAGTCTCCAGGGATTGACTTTGTCCCCCTGAATTCTTAGTGTCAAAAAGGGCCTGAATGCAACTAGTACATCCTGACTATGGACCGAAGGAAAAGGGTGTAGAGGGAAAAGGAAGGGTAAGGGGCTGAGGTAAAGAGAGAGAGCGGAGACACTACAGTAGGTGAAGGGGGAGAATAAAGAGATGACGGATGGGAGGAGTCAGGCTCCCAGAGCAGGCAACTAACAGAGGCTGAAAATTTCCAAGTAGTCCTGGCTCTGGGAGAGAAGATTCAGGGAGCACAGAAAGAAGGAACAGGAGGCCTTCGAGGCTGTAATTATCTAACAGGACTGTGATGAAAATAGGAGTCAGGGAGCTGCTGAATTGGGGAACAGGGGGAGATGGATAATGTTTTCTCTAGCCTCATTGCCGAGAAACTCATTAAAATCTCCTTTCCATTTCCAACTCCTCAGTATCCAAAAGGCCAGTGTTTCTGAAACTGGAGAGATTTTCTTCTTTTCAGTATAACTGGGGGAAACAAATAATATACGTCAATTTAAAATTTTCTAAACCATTTCCCCTTCATCCCACCACATTGTGCTATGAAGAAAAGAAATAACCTTTTTAAATGATGGGAAAAGTGTAGCCACAGGGAGAGGGGGAAAAGGCTGGGGGTTCTCTTTGTATCATTTTTCAAAAGAAAAAGTATGATGTCGTTTTCAAGAGATGAACAGAATAGACCCTAAGCTGGTATTCTCATTTGCCATAAAAATATATGGAGAAAAGGAATCCTGAATTCAAAAGAAGATTTTTTAAAGGGGTGAAAAAAAATAAAGAAAATGCTCAAAATTATATCTAACATAATGGTACTTAAGTACTTCACAACCATTTTGTCCTTTAATCCTCAAAATAATCCTGTGAGGGCTTCAGGGCTATAATTACCTACGAAGACTACTTCAATATCGATTTTGCAGATGAGGTAAGTGAGACACAGAGAGGTTAAGCAACTTGCTAATGTTGGCATAGCTAGCAAGGAGTAGTTCTAGGATTTAGGCCCAGAAGGTCTGACTTTTAATACCCAAATGATTAGCCAGAATGCTAATCTGCATCCTCAAAAGAATGAAAAAGACAAAACAAATCCAAAGCAGAAGAATCCCAATGAATTACTTATCGTGCCAAGGTAAGACTGATGAAGGACATCAGGACCCTGGAGAAATGTATGTTGACTTCAGGAAAGACCGATAGAGATGCAAGAGATACAGGTCTAGAAGTGTGATAGAGTGATAGCAAGAATCCCAAATTGGGAAGGAAAAAAGATCTGAGTTTCAGGTCCTCTTCATATTGGCTTTGTGACTGTAGGTAAGCCACTTAACTTCCCAAAGCTCCAGTCTCCTCTGTAAAATAATACCTGAGACCAGGTAGTTGTGAGGACTGCTGTGAGACTGAGTTGACTGAATGGAAAAGCAGTGTTAGCTGGGTGGTGTTACACATAGTCATTAAAGCTGTGGAATACCCCAGGAGGTTTAGAGCACCTTGTAATAAACAAATAAACAAAATTAGCACAAGTCTGCAACAAAATGCGTGATTTGTTGGGTGCTTTTTGCTTTGCTTTTGTGTGGGTTAAACTCTTCCACTGGCTGGCTTGCTTTCCTTCTTTCTTTCTTTCTTTCTTTCTTTCTTTCTTTCTTTCTTTCTTTCTTTCTTTCTTTCTTTCTTTCTTTCTTTTTTTTTTCTTTTACTGAAGGCTCCTTTGGAATCTGTGCTGCGAGTGACAAATCGGAGACAATGTGATATTGGAAACAATCATAGACTTTGACAGGCCACAGATCAAGAATTCAGTTCTCTGAGGCCATGACATGCTCCAAGTTAAAACAAACATCCGGGGAAGGCAGGCAGTTTGGGCAGTATGCAGCACCTGGACCCCGCCTGACTGAGGAGACTCCATTCCTTGACACTAGTGACTTACCCACAGTTGGACTGCTTATGGTTAGTGGCCTTTCCCTTCCCTTCCTGCTTTCTCCTGCCCAGATGACCTTCTTAAAGGATAGGCAGTCCCTGGCTCTCAAAACCCATTCAGGTCCTTCTTCCCTTAGAGCTCCTCCCATGGAAATGTGTTAGGTTTTATGCAATATAATTAATAGACTGAAGACAGTCTGAGTAACCAAGACAAGGTTTAGCACCACCGAGAAAGTGTTTAAACTTTATGAGAGAACCTGGTAAATCTTCATGCCCTCTACCCCCAAGAGATAGTGCTAATTGCCTGACAGTTATTATTTTTTTTTTTTAGCCTTTGAGAAAGATGATAGAAGGAAAGAGTACTGGGCCAATACCTAAAAGACTTAGGTGCTAGGCTAGGCTTTCCAGTTGTCAGGCTGTGTGACCTTGGAAAAATGGCATTACTCCTCTGATCTTCTCTTGTTTTCCTCAAGTGGTAAACTGAGCACTTTAAATTGGTGTTTTCCAAAGTAATTTGAGAAATTATCTCTGTTACAGAGGAATAAATTTAATTTTGATTATTATTACAAAAAATCTATTACAACAAAATTATGATTTATATACATTATTGCCTGGGATGAGCCTAAAGTGAAAAAGTGAGTCAATTTAAAGAAAAATCTAAAACTAAATAATATTATAGATGGATGTGACTAAAATTGTGACGGTGAAATTTGAAAGAACATCATAAAGGACCTTCAGTCCCTTACCAAAGGGCAGAGTCCAGGACGAGCATTCAGACATCTCTTCTGTTTTTCTACTTGGCAACCCCACTAGTTTGTCCTCCCATCCTTCGTCAGGTCTTTCTGTCAGTGTTTGTGAGAAACCTGCCCAACACACCTATCCAATGCTCTATAGTCCTTGGGTATAAAATTATAATTGGCACAAGTGATCATGTCATCCATTGCAGTTCACAAGTAAAAGTTTTAGTAAGACCAATAACATTTCAAATCATCTTTTAATTTTTATAAAATTATCAAATCTTGCTCACAGGTCTCTGGCCCTTAGTTCTCCAAGGACTCACTCTTCTGGCTCCACAATTCATTTTTTCATGTGACTTGTTAGGGATCATCTGTATTCCAGCTGAGGGTGGAATTCTAAATCTAGAAGAACGAGTAAACGAGCATGTTTCAGAGAAGCTCTATAAAAGTTGAGTCCAAAACAACTGAGAGGCTTTGGAAAGTCCCAATATTGCCTTAAACATAAATATTGTGATCAGTAACTTTTTATTTATGGCAAGCTTTGAACCTTCCAGAAAGATGCATCGAATGCAAACTATTATTAGCAGGGAAATGCAAAAGCCACTTCGTATTACATGATTTATACCCAACAGCTCAATGCAGGCTGAGCAAGCAAGAAACATTGTTCCTATCTCAAGGCAAAGACAGAGAGATTGGGCAGATTTGAAGAATCTAGTTTAGAAATTCAAGGGGATGATCAGAGTAATAGATTTACTAAACCCGATTAAGGGCAGGAGAACAAGACATAGGACTTTCAGGAATATTTTTTCTTTCCCTCCCAACATATTTACCTTCAACTGCTAAGCTGTGTGGTAAAGAAGGCTGCTCTGGAATGAGCATCATGAAATGGGTCTGGAAGGGGCTGGGGGCTCATTTGGTAGGTTTTGCAGGAAATCTGTGTCTGTAAATGTGCCTCTCATATGTGATAATTTGGGATCATCCTGGTGGTGTCCTGGTCCCTGGCTGTATCTGCAAGACTTAGAAGCAGTCAGTGAGACTTGGGATGATAAAGCTGACGCAGTGTGGGCTCAACTAGTAAGAGTTCAGTGACAGGAGATGTTGATCAGTTTGGATTCTGAATACTGTACGTCAAACTGAGACAGGGAGGGTGTTTCAGCTCCTCCCCCTTACCCTCCTTCCTTGGACTCTTCCTCAGCTGTGAATGCCGTGGGTTCTTTGTTCCTTCCTTTAACCACCTCCAGTAAGCCTTTGATTTTAAAGACAGTAGTGGGAAGACAGAGAGCTTGGATATAGCAGCTCCGTGTGAGGTCTGTGAGCTCTTGGGTGAGTCACTTAATGTCTCTAAGCCTCACTTTCCTCATATCTGAAATTGGCAAAATAGTAGTACCTACCTAATAATGCTTTGGGGAGAATTTAACAGGATAAAATACCTAAGGCACAAATTCTTTGCACAGAATGCTCAGTTAACAACCATCTGATAAGCCATGTGGCTCCCTCTTATTGCAAACAGAGTACATCTTTCCAGAGAATATGGAGACAAATCTTCAGAGTCCTGGAAAGAGATACAATGAATTAAAACATATTCCTGAAACACATTTTAATGAAAGAAAAAGCAATCTCATTTAATTCATTAGTTGAGATGATACCTAAACACTGTTAACAATGCTGGATTTTCTTTTAGTCATTGATTGCAGAGAAATCAAAATCTTACTCATTCGCATCCAGTGGACTATTTTACACCATTCCAGGCACAGTCGATGCCACTGGAAGTAAAATACAAGTTTCCTGACTTCTTTTTTTGCATCCAAGCCAGGACTTCGTGAAATGAATGGTCTGAGGCCTGGTGCTCAGCCTTGGGCTTTTGTGCCAGGCAATATCTCTATCAGGTTCCAGCAGACTTCCAGGGCTGGCCTGATGGCACTCCAGGTTTTCTGTCTTTAAGTATCATAGATTTCTCCTAGTAGGACAGTCAGAGCTTTTGATGCTGCCCTTTCTTATCAAGGGAAAGAATATATGAATGAAGCTGACACCATCAGTAGGGGACTAAAGGTCAATTATTAAAATTTTAATGATTAATTGACAGTGGCATGCCGATCCCTTCATCATCCCTTTCCTACCCTGCTTCATTGACAAAGGTGTGGAATCTTAGCATAGAGGGTCTGAATTCTTCTGGGGTGTAGGAAATTATTTGCTGTTCAGGAGAGTAAGGAATTTGAACCACAAGGGGTTGGCAAATGCATTAACTAATTAAGTTCTTTTCAACTGGTTTCCCCCTTACTAACTAAAGGAATACATTTTGACTTCTAGTTGAAACTCAGGATGACCAAAAGACAGAAATTAACGAATATCCTTTTTGGCCTCAATCCAAAGAACTGTTTTTCTTTCTGAATTTATCCTACTCTTGAGCCCTCCCCAATGAAGAAGAATGAAATCATAATGGCAATTTTCTTTCTGGCAACAGTTCATCACAAATGAAATTTACCTGTTTTCTTCCAGGTCGTCTCAAAAAAGAATGAGGGCTCTTTCTCTCAAGGGTTTGATGATTTCAGATGTCCGTCTAGAGCATAGGGAAGATAACCTAATTTCTGTTTCCATAAAAAATACCGGAAGACAAGAAGACAATGTTCCTGTGGAATGTCCTCTAAGAGCTGACATGGGTGGGAGGTCAAGAGGATGTCCCCCAAAAGGCAGAAGCTCTTGATTTGCCAAGAAAGCTTGAGAAGAGATCATCTGCAGAAGGATGAGGCTGTTGCAGAGAGACACTAATCATGAGACAAGGATTCATATTTTCTATGAAATATCTCCTTCTAAAATAAAAAATCCAAACCCACCTTCATTATCACTTATTTCATCTGTTTATTATAAAATGTTTTCAGGCAATGTTGCAGCATCTTCAATTATCTGCAAAGGAGCTAAGTTTGTTTGATTTAGACAGCAAATTGACCTCCCATCTGATTTCAATCCTTCCTACCAAATAGGTTGGCCATGAATGCTGCTGTAGTTGTGTGATACACTTTGAATTTCACCAAGCATGTGTTAAAAAGACTGGTCTGAGCCCCAGGTGTCAGATGAACCTGCCACAGCAGCAGAGAGGGAGTCATCTGTATTTATACCAAGTTTGTGTTCACATTAGCTCAGAGTATAACCGATATATACAAATACGTAAATGTCTCATTGTAAACTCAAAGTATATTCAGACAGAGAAAAGTTCAGCTCACCTTTTCTACAGATGACATATCTTCAGGCCTTCAGTTCTTTTCTTCTCAATTTAGTTCTCAATGATAACTCAAAGCAAATGAAGCCTTCTAACTAGGTATAATTATGACAAACACTGAAGAGCCCAGGAAGTAAAAGACAATGGTAAGAAACAATTCTAAAATGCCTTAAAGCTGCCCTCTCATCCAGCTGATTTATGTCATAAGCACTTGCTACAAATAAGTCTATAGAGTTTGAGTCAAAACATACATGAGACATTTTAACTTCTGCCCAAACTGTTCATCCTTCTGCCTCATGCTCAGTTTGGTCGATTAAAAGTTAGGTGAGTAAGAAAATGGATTACCACAGTGAGAGAAAGTGAGGCCAGCAAGAAACAGGCATGACAAAGAATTATGCTGATAATTTATGAAGACCTAGAAAGAAAATTTCTGAGTCATCAATAGTATTTACAGGTTAAAAAAAGAAGAAAAGAAAAGAAAACTAAACAAGAGGAGGAAAAAGGGATAAGACAGAAAAAAAAAAGGTTGAAGGAAATGGTCTTCAGTCTGGAGAAGATTCATCCTGTGAGAATGCATTGCTGTCTTAAACAATGTACTGTTTTTCTTACTTATGAAAACCAGCATCAGATGCTGGTTGTTGGTCTTGTCCTTGCTTAGGTCTATAGGTCTCTAGTCATTCATTTGCGTGTCATTGAAAGAGGGGATGACACTATATTACCCCTTTATTTCGGAGAATATGGAGGAAATATCTGTCATACTGGTCATCAATTTTTATTTCAGGAAAAGTAAAACCTATTCTTATGTAATCTTCTCTAGCACTTGGAAGCTCCTCAAATGACTGCCCCCCTCATTTCTTTGTTAATATATGCAAATTTTACTATACATTTATTTGGACCTGGAAACTTCAAACATAAAAGATTTGATGTTGCTCATACCTTGAGCAAGCAGGAAATCCTTAGGGAAATGTGAACTAGTTCATACTTATGACAACAGCTGTTTTAATAAAACAATGAATTATTGACCCAACATCTGACTCATCTTTTGCTGCATTTTTTATGTTACAGGAAGGTTTATAACTAATAAATTTCTTTGTATTGCATGCATATCTTATGAAAAAATAATTGCATATCCTTTGCATATATTCTTAACCACTGGCATGTTGTATGTACTCGAACTGCAGCAGTAACGAGATGTGAATATGGGTAAAATTTTGTTCTACAATCATAAAACATAATGCTGAATTATTAGGGGGTAATTATTTAACAACAATGACAAAACCTTCTCTCTTTACTTATCTTTACCTACTTCATCTTAATCTCACATTATTTTTTAAAAGAAAACTTCATTGCATATTCTAGCAAAGTCTATTGGTAGGCGAAGGTTTAACAGAGCCAGAGAGAATGTGCAAGGAGTGAGAAAGTGAATTGATGGATGGATGGTTAAATGAATATAAATGAACTGACACCTTTACAGGAAAATAACATTTCTTTTCTTTTTTTATTCTATAGATCAGTGGGTTTTGTATCTGTAATTCTTTCATATCAGCAAAGAGGAAATAAACTCTCATGTAAATCATTTTCCCCCCATCTGTAGCATATTAAAACCATGCCTTTTTTTTTTCTTTTAAGCAGACTCTTTTTTCCCTATTTGCTTATCAGTTCATCCACCATTACATTTTAAATGAAACTGCAAGACCCTTGTCCCTCCCCCAAATTTCAGCCTGATGTAGGAAAGTGGAAAGCAGACTTTTCTTGCTTTAGAATAGTGACCTAGATTCAATTACAGATAGACCCAGAAGAGAGAAGTGACACCTCACAATTTTCTTAGAGGTCTTGAAAAAATTAGAAATCTCAAAACAATACTTAATGGGAAAGAATCTGTTTATTTCTCCCCATTTGCCATCTTATTTCTTCTCTGCCTTAATTGCATTGCTTTGGTCCATTTAATTGTTCCTGGTATAACATCACAATAGGTTTGCCGCGGGATATTTCTGAATCATAAAAACGGGCATTTCAAGGAAATTTCTGAGTTTGGCTTTTGAGGGTGGGTGTCTATACACAGAGTATGTGTAATTCTGCAAACTGAACCCAGATAAGATGGGGGAAAAATCTCTTAAAAGGCACATTTCCCCTTGCAGCCTTTAAAAAAGCAAACAAATTACATTAATAAAGTACACTTATTATAATTGCACTGCAGACAAAGCACTGAACGGGGAAAGGGGGTGTATATATTTTACTGTTTTCCCAATTACTGTAGAAAAATGTGGTCAAAAGAAATAGAGGGAAGAACCCTGTGATTCTGCTTATTGACTTTTATCACTAAATTAAGCATATAAATGACCTGAGCGGGTGGCTTGGTATATTAAATTAAAAAAAGAAGAACAATGATTCTCTCTTCTTTTTCCCTCCCTCTCTGATCTCAGCCTGAAAGGAGTCTCCGAGAGATAAGAAAGATGGGATTCGGTCCTCGCTACTCGGGTGGGTCCTGCTTACCGCGAGCGGGGAGGCGGTTGCCTTCCGTGCAGGATTTCCGTTGAGGGCTCACAATAAGCGGTCTCAGGCGGGGGACCCCCGCCACTTCCACGGTCCCTCAAACAAAGAAAGAAGCCAAAGTCGGCTGTCCCAAGACCAATGTAAGCGCTTAGGAAGCTTTGAGACGCTTTAGGGAGAGGAAGGCTGCTGTGGGCAGGTGTGGACACCTCAGCCCTCGCGGCAGGTTTGGAGCCGCCCAGCGTAGGAAGAGGGCAGAAGTGGGCTCGCGTCTATGCGGGTATTCGAAGTGAAAAAGAGCTGCAAACGGCACAGAAGTCCGGGGGCTAGGCGCAGGAAAACAGAGCAAGGAAACTGCCTTAGCTCTCAAACACTGCCTATGGAGGGGTGTTCCCCGGAAGATTATTCTAGATCCTATGAAAGAGGTCTCCACTGGGCGCTGGCCACGGCATTGGGGATGTGGGTGTGCGCCTGTTCTGAAAGAAGGGTCCCCCAGGCAGCGCAGGGGAACGCAGGAGACGCCTGTCCCCGGGGGAACCAGCGGAGGATTGTTTCATTTCAAAGTGAAAATCTGCAGGCTTTGGGAAACGATATTCAAAAAAGTATATAATCTCCATATGCCGCTCAATGGAGGATCCTCATAATTTACAGCGGCAGATAAGGCTAGAGGGTGTAATAAAAAATCTGAAGCCCTCCCCTCCCCCCTCGCCGCCTCCCCGGAATTGCACCTTGGGCAGCGGAGCAGAATCCGGAATGTGAACTTCTCCCGACATATGTTTCCCGCAGATAAGTAAACAATCTGGACGTGAAATGGAAATGGTAATTAATGCAGTAATGCTGTTACACCTCGAGTGTGCAAATCCCATTGACTCGCCGCACCACGGGGGGTGCCGGGCGTACGGGGACCGGTGGCGTGCGCCCAGGCTGCCCACTCCCTCCCTCCTCTCTCCCTCCTCCCTAGGTCCCCGGGCGGGGCGTCCAGAAATCCCGCAGGGACGTGCCCGGGCTGCAGGAAGCAAGGAGCTGCTTAAGCAGGGTTCGGGACTCCCGGCTGTCGGCCCTTGGAGGACTGGGCGGGTGCTCTGCCTTTGCCTCGACAGCCGCGCCTCTCACCCACCTCCCTCAGTTATCACCGCCGCGCTAGCGCTAGCAGGGCCTCCTCGGGGCTCAGAGGTGCAGCCCTGCCCTGAAGCACCCAGGAGAGCCTGAGTTCTCCTACTGCGAGCAGCCGGCGACAGAGGCCTGGAGGCAGAGGGAACCCCCAAACTTAGTGCGGCTGGTCGCCCTGAGTGCGGCTGTCGGGTCTTTCCTCTCCCCTCTGTTCCGGGGCCAAGTGCGGCCGGGTGTCTGGCAGAGTTTTTCTGAAGTTTCTTTCCATCCTCGCACCGAAAGCACTGATCGTATATGAACTGCTTCTCTTACGGACCTGAGCGGAAAAGTTTGGAAAAACCCACTGCCCGCCAGAGTAAAGCAACTTCTCCACTTTGTAACAAAGAGGAAACTTGAGGCCTCCTTTCAGCCTTTGTCCGGCCTGGGCACCCGCTCCCTTCCTCAACCCAGACCCAATGCTTCGGCTTTTGGGGGGAATTGGGGAGGTTGCCTAGCGCAGGGATTCGAGCGAAAGGATGCAGAATCAGGGGAGGCAGCCAAGGGATGTCCCCGACCCGCGGCCCTTCCCGCTTCCGAAGAGAACAGCTTGCTCATCCGACCCCAGAGGCTGGACAGGAGCCTGAGGATGACGGCTCTGAGGGACCCAGGGCCAGGGGCTGGGCTAGGAAGGGAGTAGCGAGGCCCCCTCTTCCCTGACTTCAGGCTCCTTCTTAGTGTGAGAGCCGGCAACGCCCAAGCCCCGGGACCTGGGCGCACACACAGAGCCGGGATTCCGCGGCGCCCACCGAGAGTCTCTGGTTTAAAGTAGAAGCCCCAGGATTTCTAGCGCCCCCATCCGCCATCAACTTCTTTATTTTCTTAATTACTCTGCCGTGGCCCAGCGCCTGCGCTTCTGGTTCCAGGCCAATGCCCATCCCTGCAGCGTCAGGAAAGAAATCAGCCCAAGTAGCTCTCCCACTGCTAGGTCCACTAGAGCCTAGGAGGCAGGGCAGGGCAGGGCAGGACAGAGGCCAGGAGAACATGCCCCTCGGTGGAGGCAGTAAACATGGGTCCCGGCTGTCCTGCACTCAAATCTAACGGGCCCCTTCTGTCCCTGTGCCTCTTCCTCTAGCACTCACACACAATCCACTCAGCAAATAAAGAGATGAGATTTCTTTACACAAATCTTGTGACTTAGGTGATATTCAAATTCAAATGGTTTGAAATTCATTGTCCACTTGAACAATGGTAACAAGGCCTGAGCTGGGGAGGAGATGAAGGAAACAAGAGTGCTGGTACCACAGCTCGCCAAGTTTCCCGGGCCCTGGCAGTCTCGGATCTCTCCAGAGAAGCTGACCTGGCGGGACACACTTCACTAAATGGTGAGCTGTGATCAAAGTCCCTTGGCCCTAGTCTGACGGAAACATCATCCCGCTTTGGTTCACTGGAGATTCCTACAGGTTAGCTCGCTCCAGTTCCAAAATGCAAACGTTAAGGGGGTCTCAGATGTCAGTTACTCACACCTCAGTGTAATTTACTCAAAGTAGCTGGTCTTTTCCGTCTTTAAAGTCAGCGGGCCTACGGAAATTAATATTTAAATAGTAAAACTCCGAAACTGGAAGGGAATCAAAGATTTTGGGAGTCGGATCCAAAACCGAGAGGTGCATAAAAGGCTGACGGAGTTCTCGGAATGAGGGAGGCCAGAGGCTGAAAGGGACCAAGAATGCCGCATCTCTCAGAAGATGTGGCCAGTGTACCCTTGAGCCAGACGGCAGCCAAGGTTTAAGAAAGCAAACCTAGGTAAAACCCAAACAACTGTGCTCCTGCCGCGCCGGCGCCGATGGCTGCCACCCCAGCAGCATGCTGTTCAGGTCTCTGCTGTCCTAGGGAACACCCAGCAGAGGAGCGACGACGCTGAACGCGGCATGTATTTGGGTCACTTTTGGCGGGGAGAGGGGTCCCGGGGAAGCAATGAGAGCAGCAGGTGAGAGGTCCAGGCCCTCCCTGTCAATCCCGCTCGAGGGAGGCCCAGGCTGCCAAGCGAGAGAAGTCTGGGGCTCCCTGGCTGCCGGACTCGTGCCTAACGCAGAGAGATCTGCAGAACCTCCTCCTGTAGGACCACCGGCGCCCCGCGCAGCGCCGGAGTTCGGGTTCTCCGGATGTCAGGAGTCTGTCCAGGGCAACTCTTGGCTGCTCTTTGCTGCGCTACGCGCGCTCGGGAGAAGCGGCTCTTCTCCACTCCGGGCGGGCGGGGCGCTCCTCTCCCTACAGGTTTGCTTTAATGATTTTCTTGAAAGAAAGAGACAGTTGTGAGCAAACAGGTTTGACAGGGACTGCTGCCCCCCACACCCCCCAGGGGATTTCTTTTTGTCTGCGCCTGACTTCAAAGTCAGTAATCGGCCCCTGTCAGCGGCGTGACGAGAAGGATTTTGGCTGTTTGTTAGGGCGAGTCGCGGCCGCGCACCTCGGCGGACGCTCAGCGGCCCTCGGGGCAACGGAGGCAAAGCTGAGGCAGGCCCTTGCGGGGATGGGGGTGGGGGGCGAGGTTGGGACTAGGTCTAAGGAGGGCAGATGGCTGGGGAAGGCCAGTCTGCGAAGGAAGGAAACGAAGTGTGGTGGCCAAAAACCGCCCGAGTCAAGTCTTTGACTTCAGGTCCCAGGACCCGAACTGGGCCCCCCGGCTCTTTGCAGGCTGGAAAGAGGTCTCAGTCAGCTCTGAGTGAGGCCGCAGCTCCCTGAGCGCCTCTCTGCTACAGCGCACCCTAGTTTCCTAGTTCCCCATCTAAGCCCAAGATCCGGCCAACCCGGGACCCTGGTTTCAGTTTTCCAGCTTCACCCACCGCCCGAGGCCTTTGCCCCTCGCACTTTGCCCCTCGCACTCGCCACGTGCCCCTTTCCAGCCTAACCCTTCAGGTTTGCTTCAGGTGGGGTCGTGGGCGCCAGGTTCTTTCTCCAGCTGGGGTGTTCTGTTCGCCCAGGGCGCTCCCGCGCTGGGATCTGCGGGGAGATACCCAGACCCCTGTAAGCTTCATCTTAGGAGATGTTAAGGGACACTGAGCTATGGGGGCTATCAGAGCGGCTGACAGGACTGTCAGTTGGGGTTATATCAGAAAGGAAAACCGTGGCTCCTCCGTCCCAGGCCTCCTGGGCTTCCTAGGGGGTGGGAGGAGGGGCCTTCCCTAAGCGCCCAGGGCCCCCAAACCGGACGGCCACCAGAGGCCAGTCACTTCCTAATTGTCTCGATTTGTAAGAGGGTTTTGTAATGCTAAGTAAGCGTGGCGCAGCCAGCCCGGCCTCCCCCTACACCTCCCTCAGCCCGCCTTTGTTTACCTTCGCCTGATCGCTCATTTATTTATCTATCTATTATTTATAGGCGTCCTCTCCTATTCAGTGCCCGTGTATGTTAATTGTGTTATACCATTTAATTCTAACATCGGTCTCAAAAGAGCTCTTAATGAGAAAAGCATATACAACATGGATCACTTTGCTATTCAGCTTAGCCAGATGGACAACTGCTAACTTTTTTTTTTTTTTTTAAATAATGAAAATCCCCCTTTGACAAAGGGGCTCGGTTGAATAGGCTCCAAATATCACCTCAAACACTTCTAATTGTTTTGAGGACAATATGCTAATCCGCGGATTTCGGCTTTGGTGTCTGTTGACAACGTTTCCCGTGCACTTCGAGCCACCGACTCCTTTGGAAACAGCAGAGGCAAGCGCACAAATCTCTAAACAGCAGCAGAAAGCCGACAAACCTCTAGGCTGTCCCACCTCCCACCCCGTAGCATATCAAAGCCAGTGGGAAAAGCGCGCAAATTAAGGAAACCCACGCGTGAGCGCGGCTTTGGGGGTGAGACTCCAAGACCGAGGGTGGAAAGCACCCTTCGATTTTGAGAACACATTCCAAAGAGTTTTGCTGGATGACACCGGAGGGTCCTTTCTCCTCAGGAAAGACAATTATCTTCAAGAAAACATTCACCCGGAGGGGAAAGAAAAGGGCTGTTTTCCTTATTTAACATCATGGGCTGCACTGTTATTTGATTTTTTACGATTTTTAAAAACTCCTTGCCCGAGTCGTGACAATGTCGCCTTCCTTTTCCCTTTGCTCCGCAGGGTCTCAGTAAAAAGCGTTCGACAGTCTGGGGCGGGGACCTATGGCACATCTTTCTGCACTCCTTTTATTTTTTAACTTAGGAACCAGTATCAAGCCCCAAATCCCCAGAAGAGTGAGCAGCAGAGTTTCCAAACACCTAAAAAGGCAAAATACCTGATTCCCCCAGTCTTCTCCCATGCTTTGAATTTAAACATCCACTGCAGGACTCGGTGTTCAGCGCGCAACTGGTTCCCAGGAGACTCGGTGCTTCTCCCCACTGCTTCAGCGTTTGGGTTTTTAAAAAGTAAACTCACCCAGATCTCAGCGGTCTGGGTCGGCCTTTGACTTAGTTCATTCACTTCTTGAAGTGGCCTGACCCTTTTGGGAAGAATGGGGGGAGAGAGTGAAGTCCCAGGGAACGATACCTTTATCTAGACTCTAAAGGCAAAAAGCAATCTCCAGGGCGCATTCCGGACAGATCCGAAACTCTAGGCCCTTCTACACCCAACCCGCAGACCACCAAGATGGGCCAACGGGGGGCAGCCACCAGCCATCACTGCTTAGATTCGCTCTATGCACTTTCAGCATCCCCGCACCCGACTTTCCAGCCCCTCCAACCTGGCTCCTGACTTCAGATTTTAGGCACATCAAAGGTTACTTTTTTTACAATGACAGATTGTCTTTATTCAAAACGTCTTTGTTCAGGAAATGAACAGAGTAACGAGGTAAAATCCTTCTAGGTACATTTCCAAGACATCGTCAAAACATTTGTGACCATTTAGGATGTTTTTGTTCTTTTAATTTTTCGTTCACCTTCTACTTCCTGACTTCATAACCCGACATTCTGTCTAAAAGTAAACTTAGGTCTCTAGAAGCACTGCTTTACACAAAGTAAATAACCATTAGGTCCTTTTTGTTTTCCCTTTAAAGAAGCAAACACTATCATAGCATAGTTTTAAATAGAAATGTTTCCCTTTCTGTAGTTTAAAACTTTGAAGCCTTTCCCCCCCATACATGAAGAGCAAATGGCTCCTAGTTGTGTCTGATGGCAAAACATAGAGACACAGCTAACTCTTTTCTTCAGGGGACAAAAGGAAAAAATATGTGCATATTCTAGATATAATATCAGAATCTGGGAGTTCAGAGTCCAAAGCCTATCCGAGGAGAGTGAAGGGGACATAAATAAAGCAAAACTGCCTACTTTTTTGTCCAAAGGGGGTACAGTCGGAGATTTGTTTTGGGAGAGTCGGGATAGGGGCAGCTGTGCAGCTGTCATAACGTTTGCAAGTTTCCGGCACCTGTCTGCGCCTCGGGTCCGGGAGGACGCCCCTCCCTTCCCCCTGGAAGAGAGAGGAAAAGTCTGGGTGGTGTAAGGGACAGCGGCAGGGCTGACCCCGGAGGCGTCTGCAGGACAGGGCTAGGCTCAGAGGACAGGGTGCAGACCCGGCTTTCAGACCACCCCTCAGGTCCGGGCCGGGCTGGGGGTTACATGGCGGTAGCATGGGCTGACGAATAAGGGTCTATGCCAGTCTTGGTCATGCCTGGGAAGAGGATGTAGGCGACGGGGGGCTGCAGGGTAGAGGCAGACCAGGCGGTACAGTTACAGGGCACCACGTAGCCAGGGTTGGTGGGGGACGGGTGCGTGTGCGTGTGCTGGCTGGGGCAGCTGAGGCTGCCGAAGGCGCCGTTCTGGTAGCCCAGGGTGGACGCGTAGGGCAGAGCGCCGGTGGCCAACGTGTGGGGCACTTCGCCCATCTTCTGGATGGCACTCGAGCTAAACTGCGCGGGGTCCAGCAGGGAGTAGGGCGCCGAGGCCGGCGGCAAGAAGGCCCGGGCTTTCTCGGGCGCGCTCAGGAGGCCGTCGGAGGCCCCCACGGGCAGGCCGGCCGCCTTGAGCGGGTCCGTGTCGCCCAGGTAGGGCAGGGGGAAGACATACCTGTCCTTCTTGAGCAGGTTCTTGGGCTTGCGCCGCGGTCGGTACTTGTAGTCAGGGTGCTCCTTCATGTGCTGGGCACGTAGCCGCTTGGCCTCATCGATGTATGGCCGCTTCTCTGCCTCGGACAGAAGCTTCCATTCGGCGCCTAGGCG